TTATATTCAAGTGATTTACCATTCCTTTTGTTTGTATACAATAAACCTAAGTTTTTATTTTGAAATCATACTTTGGCCTGAAGCTTTATTTGAGGGAATGGTTGGTGGCAGTGGAAACGAAGAGTGATTGAGTGTGACGTAACGGCCCCTTTGTGAGGTATAAGGTGGCTGTTACAGCCATCATCCTCAGCCTTTTTCCCACCCACTATTTCTATTTCAAGCAGTGGCAATAGTGGCAAGGAACATTGGGCTTACAAAGCTTTGGCGCCTTTCTCTTCAGGTCTTATTTTGCCTACCTTCCTCCCTGTCCCCCCTCTGCCACATCAGGGAGTGTAGTGGTAATGAAGAGAAAATGAAGGGCAAGGTTGAAGGGGACCAGGACTAGGAGAACTTGGGAGGGCCCTCCTTTGCCCTTCACCCATGGGCCATATTGCCACCTGCTTGTGCCCCTCTCCTGCTTCTGTTGTCGAGTGCTCTTCAGGTGAGGATTGGATGCAGGGTTAACCTTAGTGGTTATCCAGGTGGAAGAGAAGGAAGTGGAAGAGAAAAAGAGGAAGACATGGTGCTGTTGTGGCCATGGCAGCTGTTGCTGTTGTTGCTGCTGCTACTAATATTTCCTGAGCATCCCAATCACCACTGCAGCTTCCTCTTTCTCCACCTTCTCTTTTTCAAGAATTGTCCTCTCATCCTCACCAGCTCCCTGTCCTTGCTCTCACTCTCCAGCCTCAGCCAACAGCCTAAGATTGGGACCTGCCTCCTGCTTGGTGGCTTGGGTGCTCATGGTGTGCCCAGTGAAATGGCTTGATTGCTTGCTTGATTGCACAATCCTTTCCATGTTCACAGGCCAGAGGAAGGACCTTGTCAGGAACCCTTTCCCCCACACATCCTTTCTCTCTCTTCTTCTCCTCTCTTTGTTCTTTCTGTAGGCCACATGTAGTAACGTGGAGGTGGCCAGCCTGACAGTCCCATAGCAGGCAGTTTGGATGTGAGAGGGAAAGGACCAACACACATGGTGGACTCTTATTTTGCTCTTCTTTAGGTAGACACACACACATCTGAGAAAGTGCTGTTTTTTGTTTTTAAAGCAGAACAAAATCTCCCATCCAGATTTGCCAAATTCTACTAGCAAATTCTATTTCCTCCACAGAGAGAACCATGTTGTACCTGCCTGGCTGCTGGAAACCTGAGCTGTTAAAAGTAAAGCAAAGCAATGTTAAGAAATCTGATCAAAGGTTTCTGATCAAAGTTGGCTATCACAGGACAGGGAGACATTCAGGGATGGGAACTCAAGTTGCAGGACGTGCTGTCAAGTTGGACTTAAGTCACACAAGTGACTCAACTTGGATTTGATTTGGGTTTTTTTTCTTCTTCAGTGACTTGAACTCAGCTCACAACTCTGAACCCACCCACCCCTCCCTTCTTTACTGGAGGAAATAGCCTATTTTTAATAGGGACTTGAATTTGGGGCTTGTGACTCAGGGCTTGGCACCAAAAACTCAAACTTGGATTTGAGACTCAGACCCAAAGATTTGCCAACATCCTTGGAGACATCTCCTCAATGATTTACTAATCTCTTTAAGATGCTTTGGCTCTGGGAAAAGACTATGATATTAAATAATTGCAGGGAAGGGGTTTGGTCATTCTTTTCTGTGTAGTATGTGCATAATTCTGTTTTCATAAAATTCATATTTCTGCATGAGACCCAACAAATTCTCCTTTTATATAGGTAAGTACACACATAGCAAGCATAGTAACACAGTATGATTGATCAAAAAGACTAAAACAACCTGTTTGATGCTTTTGCTTGTACTAGTGCATGAAAAAGGCATATATAAGAAATTTCCAATACAGCACATTTTACAGAAGTTGCACAATGACATTCAGAAAAACACACAAATATTCTCCACTCTCCCCCACCAGCCTGCAGTCTCACAGCATGTTGCTTCATATATATTGATGGATTTCCATTTACTGCACAAGGACGAAGTTAGGATTTATATTACTAATAATGGCTTCCCTAATAAGGATACTGTGGGGTGGGTGGATGCAACGACAGCTCTAATTCAGGACTATAAATTTTGTTGAATGTGCCACGGATGTAAAAGCAGACAGCTAAGAGCAAAGCACAGAAAGCCTTCTTAAATATGCAATTTTCTTTTTCTCGTGTTTGATTTATTAAAATCCCAAACTCTTTCTATAGCATTTAGTAAGATGTTTGTACATTTAAGCACGTCCTTTTACAAACTGAACAACTGCTTACCAGTCATAGGTAGAACCATGTGTATTCTGTCTTAATGGGGGGTAAAAGCATTCCACTAAAACATAACTTTTTGATTGAGCCATTTTGAATCCAGGAAGCAGTTTTAATATTATTCCATTTGCTTGATAATGCTTTCAAGCTACAAATTGTATAATGAATAACCTGTGATGTTTTCCCAATAGTCTTGCTTCACATTTTCCTCCAAATGAGAGAGAAATACTTACGGTGAAAGAGTCTGTCATGAATCTTTATATCTTAAGATTACCTAGGGTTGGAGTTTTCTTTGTGATTTGCTAGGATCAAAATGTCTCATCCTGGACATTAACTTCAGATGCCACCAAAGTTCCATATTTGGCATTTCCTTCTCAACACACTACAATCATTAAGCCTGAAGTCT